TATATATTTTCATATATGCCTTTTCAATCAATAACAGATGATATATATTTGCTTTCATAAAGCCAAACTTTCTAGGACATTTGTGGCAATGTCACTGAAAGTAGTAGGAAATATTACAGCTCAGTGAAACATTGTGTATTCAGGTGCTCGTCAATTGCAGAATAATCACAATATCCGTGCCTTTGGAGGGCATATATATTTTATCTATAACATAAAAGATATTGCTTTGTCATAAAGTCTATCCCAGTGTCTTTGATGTCCCCTGACATAGCTGCGGTAATAAATTTTGTATGGCTAAACCATGGAGTCTCATAAACTTGCTCTAAAGTATCTTAATGCCAGGTTCATCCTGTAGAAAAAACAACAAAGGAGAGCATTGATTTGGACAGTAATTTCTGTCAAATCAGCAGGATCAGTGATATAAAATACATCCAAGTGATGAACAGGGCTGAGGGGGGGGTACAAACTCAGCCATGTTTGGGATTGTGTTCTCGCCACAAAAGCGCCACCTACATCGGCTACATACATGTATGGCGGCAAGAAGCAGAATTTCAGTCAGAAGCTCTGAGGAAGGTGTCTGATAGACACCAAAATGTAAGCAAGGTAGGAATAGTTTGGTTGTGTAAAAGAAAACCCCTATATCCTGACTCTACCAACCTGATGAAACTATTTTCAGAAAGTACCTCCAAGCTAGTTAACAGAACTTACCGTTGTACATTTATGGCTTTTGAATGGCCTAATCTATGCACTTGGCTTCCATTCGTAAGTTACATATAGAATACAACCCGGTGTATTCCGTATTACCCCAAGTACCAGAGCGAACGCCGGTTGGATCACCTGATGGCTAAAGGCCAGAAGGAGATCCAACCTGCGGGAGGGCTGGGACCGAGGGTGATGCAGAATCTTATATATGTCATATCCATCCAAGAAAACACACATTTCGATGATAAATGTCCAAAAGTTCAGGAAAATTTAGTGTCCCTGGAGAAAATATTGGAACAACATCAATTCCAATGTGTTTGAGTTTTCGACAGCAGCGCAAGCTACACACGCAAACGAGTTTGAATTATTCTACAGAACTTTTTTAAGCCAGTGTAACAGTTATAAAGATAGTTATCACACAGACTGGAACACCCGTATCGAACTTTATCAGGGCCAAAGGATGAATATAAATATCAGGTACAACCACTGAAAACATTATAGTGTTACAAACAAAAAGTCATGGCCCAACATGAATAAAACAATAGCAACCGTACAATCGTGGCATATCTAGTGGTCGATAATTTCATTTAACAGTCGATACTTTCTTGTCCAATGGCCAAGATTTCTTAAGCTATTAGTAGAAATATTGCTCACAAGATGGCATTGAATATGCTAGGCACCTTCTCGAGGATCGGTTGGCGTTAATCCATAAAAACTGATCATTACCATTAGGGTATAGGCGCACACTACCGTCTTAGAATTCAGATGACGCAAACCGGTCTCACCTCTAACAGTAAGGGCCATGCAGAATGGACAAAGTGCTCTATTGATATTCATAACCTGTTACCCAACCTTTCCTGGCATATGAAAACCTTTGCTTGTCTGCTCATAAACTGAAAAGGTTCATATAAACCAAGATGGCACTATGCTCTGCCAACCATTAACCTGTATGATATATGTAGATATGTACGCACACAGTCGGGTCGAAGAGAGGCACAACATTCTATTTTCCACATGGGTAAAACTTGACTTCTTCATTACTTGCCGACGCTAGACGTTTTCTGAGTCTTCCGAGATGGATGACAGAAGGGAAACTCAAGGACACGTCTGACTAATGACATTCTTGGCACATAATCCCATTCAACATGTTCATCCCCTTACTTAAAATAATCCGTCCCTCATTAACAAAACACGCATGCTGAATGCCGACACCTTACTCTGTAACCAAACCAAGTGAAGCTTCAGAGATATATGACCTTTACTTTCAAACGATCTTTGGCCAAGTGCAACATCCAACAAAAGTTCTCAAATGCTTTCCATTTCCTACCTTGGGCCTAAAGGCATCAAAAGCAAGGTGGTCTTTTGTCGATAATGTACGCCTACAAGATTAAAGGCTTAACACGGGAGGCACTAAGTTCTCTCTACTCCCGGCTCTCTCCAATGTTTCCACCTCAGCCACTCTATCTGAAGGGCTGTCAACCCATCAAAGCTGCCGTCCACTTGGCTTTCAAACATTACCTGAGGCGAATTGCCGGCTTGAAAACAACGTCTATTCTACGCTCGGCAATTTCAATCACAGGATATTGCAGTACTGTATCCCTCCCTCGGGGACCTCTGCTCCCATTTGCCCAAATGAATCCCGATTGGGCAGCGCAATAGTTTTCAAGATGGCTGCAGTGTACCGAAACAAAACCCTAAAAGCCTCGAGTAATCTCAAGCTTTTGTCCGGTACACTTAAGAATCTATATCTGCACACCTACAATGTCTCGCGTGGTCGAATACACCCTCTGTACACATCCCATAACATATCGCTATAGACACCTGTGCAGGGCAGTTTTAGTACAATGTATTACCTACAGAGCAAAAATCCGACAATTAAAACAAAAACCTCTACATTGTACATCTATCTTTATAATATTTACAAATAAAGATGGATGTCTTTACAGCAAATACAATACCACATCCACTGGTTCACCCATGGGGTACCATATGGGCCAATACTACCGTAACAACCCTTAATCATTGCCGATCCCCTAAACACAGGGTCTGCTGCAAAGCCCCTGATCATACACAGACAGGTGGCAAAAGGAACCATGCCACAGATGTCAGACAACAAAGGGAAACTAACGCTATCTTCTCTCCTATCATATCTGTGCCAACTGTTTACAATTCATCATACCAGCAATAAATCATAGCTAAGCTGGTACAGTTTAGATGCACTACAGCACAGCCACCCTACCATCTGCATATAAAGCAAGGCAGTAATGTGCATGATTCCTAATAGTCAATACATTCTGGAGCCCTGTGAGCTGAGATATCGAAATGGGCTCCAATCCTATCCATCTAAGTACCTGTCAGCTTCTCTGTTATGCTTCTCTGTGAAAAAAAAAACTCATATAAGCTCTTGCGAGCAGACGTATCAACCCCATTCATCTCCGAATTCAATACTTCGCTTGAATGTACGACATGCATCGTTCAGGCATCAAAAGATCTGTATTCGTGAGACGGCAGCGTGATATTTCACTCAGCCTCTCTTAAACCCGCTGAAAAACCACTCCGAGAATTGGGTTGCCGTTTAATCTACTGAGACCAAATTGTGACCAGCATTGGTTCTGAATGGGAGAGGGGCCCGAGGTTTGCACTTACGGAGATGCACGAAAAAAATACTCGGGGAAAAATTTCGCTAGACACGCCGCGCGAAGCTAACCCGCTTCCCTGGGACCGTTGATTACATCTGAAAATTGGTGGGTCGCGGGGTTCAATAATCCAAGCTCAGCTTCAATTCCTGATGAGTACAGCGCAACAAAGGAAATAATTCATCTCCACAAAATTCCATCACTGGGGTCTCGCATGAGTGCCACGGGCATAGCACGAAACCAGGCCACGCAGAGACAGACCCGCTGGCAGCCAACAGATAAGATTATTATATAACACATCACTAGATTATACGATTACAACACAACTAAATACTGCATTACAAAAGCATCACCTGCTGTCATGATAATTTTCAGTTCCTCCATTGCAAACTGTTTTAGTATTCAATAGTAATTGATAATTCTGAGTCAACGACAGTGTAGACTACAGCTATTGGCCTGGCTGTATATATAGTATATGATTCAGTGATTCTCAGCAAGTGGTTTTAAAATTTAATGTTTCATATCTCTCACTGGGAAATGCTTTTCACCCAACAGAGAATCGCCTAAACCATGTATGGCTAAGGACCAGAAGGGTTCATACTTTTGATACCATCAGAGATGACACAGTACAGCTTGCTAGCTGCATGCAAGTCTAGGCGGGACACATTCCTGTTGGTTTCAACTGCTGTGAACCTGTCATCAATTACAACACCCAGTCTTACCTGTGCTGTGCCTGAGCCATTCATTTAGGGATTTAAGAGGCAATGCAGCGCATGCTGCTATGGTTCCACTTAAAACACCAGACTGCGTACTGTTGCATTTCTTCTGCTAGCTGCTTTACTGGTGTGTGCACAATGTTTACATAATATTGACTGTTCCTGTTATAAATTATAGGTAAACATTAGTAGTTGGTATAATTCACCGTGAAATTATCATTTGGGGCATAGCAGGTTAATTGATATCAAAACTCAAATTTGTCAAAGCCATGCTGAAATGTCGCCTTTCAGAAAACATAAATCCATCACGATTATTGTGATCAAGACCAAAAGGGTGCTTGAGAAATGGCGCGAGAGCGGTACTTCCGGGTTTGTGGCTAGTCGTGACGTGTCGGTTTGGTGGTCGGGAGGAGGCGAGGTCCTGTCCCGCTGCCTACTTCAGACGCCACGGCCTGTCTGTGGACCTATTTCCCATTAACGTAGGCTGGCAAGTCGTGCCCTAATTCTTGCTGTTTCCCTGTAATATTTGCCGAGGCACAATAGGGTCTACCCGGGCAGACGTCGCGGGGAGGGGCGGTGAAACTTACATCCGCGTACCCCCGAAATCGAGTAGATTTCACCAACACTGCCGAGTGCGAAAGGAATGGGGTCCCGTCTTCTCGTGACAAATTTTATGAGACTCGGGGAATGGCATCTAAAAGGTAGCCGTGCCCCTTTTAACCCTGGTCTCCTATTTCACGCGGGATCACATCGATCGGGCGGTGGACAACATCTACCCGCGTCAAGATCAACTTCGGAATTTTCGATCGGCTCGGTCCAAAGGCCAAACGCCGTTCGAGTGGACGTGGCAGCGCGCACGGCGGCGGCCTCCCCGGCACGGGCACGACAAAACACGGCGAACCAAACTGTTCCTTTGCTAGATTAAAATGTTATAACTCGTACTCACCCCTTCCCTTGTTCTGTTCGTCCCCGGCACAGCCTAACACCGACAAACAGCCCAGAACAGCCAAACTCACAATCAAACTTGACGCCATTTTGGTTCCTCAGAGCAGATGAAATCGCCCACAATGCACCTCGTGACACCGACCAGCTGAAAACTTGGCCCACGTGCGGTTTTCGCGCCAGTTTTATCCTCTTTGGGCAATTCCAAATTAATATCGTGTTACTGATACATATCACACATTTTTGCATACCTTATCTTCCCCACAGAAACATTTAGATTATTTTGAATGGTGGAGGGGTTTTCGCATCAGCCTCTAACTGACACGTAGGCATCTGAAGCGATCTAACGGTCCGTCAAAACTTTTACATTTTCCAGTTAATTTTTGTTTATTTCGAAACATGTAAGCATCATTGGAACGTCTGTTTGTGGCTAACACCGCCCCGTATCATTAATTTCGCATGATTATATATAGATCTTATACATTTGGCATGCTATAAATTGTACCAATGCATTGATGTTATCTGTCAACCTATGCGGAAAATCGTTCTTTGGGTCATGAACAGCGCCCTCCAGTATCGACGTCAGATACTGCAGCTGTCTGATCTTCAGTAGAGGGGGTTTGCACGGTGACCAAAATGACCTGATTCCTTCCTAAAAGTTTGCTTGCTCACCCTCACTCTGTACCTTTTACTTCTATAGATTAAACTTTCTTGTTAATGTTCTGAAGTTGCAGTGCAAAGTTTTTATTCACATTCTACACAATGATTGTATCCGTCGGTCCTTTCGTTTAATTTTCCTTCATGATGGTATCGGAGTTGGATTTACGCAGGCAGCGTTATCTATATTACTGTGTCGAAGTTATTGAGCGAGCTTAGAGTAGCAATAACACTGGCTAACAGCTGAATTTCGTGAATTTTAATTATTTAATGAAAAGAAGGTGTGTAACATGCAGTTCTTGTGCCCGTACGTGTATGGCATCTACCAGGCTACCAGGCTTCGTGAGAAAGACACAGCACTCTTGTTGGACAAAACTAGAAAGCACCGTGACACAAGTAGCCTCTATCAGGCTTCGGGAGGCTGCCTAAAAGAGTAGAAATTGGCGGTAAAATGTAGTTTCTAGCGGACCAACGCCCTTGGCATGTTATCGCTCTATTTGGCCAATTTCTACTCTTTCCAGCCGCCTCCAGAAGCCTGGTAGAGGCTACGTGTGTCACAGTGCTTTCTAGTTTTGTCCTAGCCTCTACCAGGCTTCGGGAGGCTGCAAAATGTTTTCTCCCCTGGCATGTTAACTCCCCTGGCATGTTATCGCTGTATTCGGCTATTTGGCCGATTTCTACTCTTTGCAGTCACCTCCCAAAGCCTGGTAGAGGCTAGTTTAGAGTGCTGTGTTTTTCTCACAAGACTGTCTTCTATATCAGAAGCACTTCAAGAACAATCAATCGTATATGATAGGTTTTCAATCAAGTGGAACATAATCCGAAAATTGAAAAACGCGCAGTAGCTATGAGCGGAAAATTGCATTTATTGGCCCATTTCTTGGTTTGTAAGCTTTTCGGTGCGGTGAAGATATGATAGATGGATTTCCATTGGTATGCTTCGGAAACTGAAAACTTCTGGTATGCTGTTGTTGTGACAGTTTAAAACTATTTTTCAACCCCTTAATATACGCTGAGTCTGAAATACAACATCATTTATTGGCCCGACAAACTTGCCTCTACCAAACTTCGGGAGGCGGCTGGAAAAAGTAGAAATTGGCGAAATAGAGAGACAACATGCCGTGGGAGTTGGTCAGCTAGAAAGTACACTGTATAACTTAAGCTTCTTGTTTATATCTCATTATAGCACCGAAAAAGATAACTTATTTAAAATGGTCACCAAAATGTTCCCTAGCTAGCTTTATTCACCTTCCCAGCCTACAAAAAAACTTCATTTCTATTAACAACTCCCAATCATACATCTCGCAAAATGTAGGCCATTTCATATCCACTGCACACAGAAAAGAAATCAAACCCAACAATAACTATACCAAAAGTAGTATTAGTATTAGATCTACTTATTGTCATTTTTAATGTTTATTTTGTTATCATGTTCTTGCAATTAGCCCTCGGGCATGAATTATTATTTGTATGCAACAAACTTTCTATTGTTTACATATAACGTTATATACGTAGAATTGATTGGCATCCATTTCCAGACCAAAGTAAACTGCAAAGTTCCTGCTGAGATTGGACTTGACTAATCCTCCTGGGCCGGGGGAAACGAGCGTGCACAACTTGACGGGGCGTTTTTGTTGGTAACAGATCGTTTTGTTCAGGATTTTTGTCATTTTCCGATACAGAAGCCAAAGTCGTTAGCAGGTATCCGTGTACCACCTCACGTAGAACCGATAGATTTTACGGTGACTGCACGAAGGTGGCGTCTGAAACTTCGAACCTTTAAAGCCGCTGCTGACCGATGGATTAAAGAAGATGCGTGGAAAAAAAAAACGATATTTGAAGCCAGGGGGAGTAACTCTAGTTGACAGAAATTTCGATACTCTAAAACGACCAGCATCTACATGTACACAAAGCGTTTGGCTACACTGAGGCGCCTTGGCTAGAATTAACACAACGCTTATAGCATGTCAGGACAATTTGTAGTAGTTACATGACTCCAGGCAACGTAACGTTATACGCCGGGTAAAAGTCGCCTAATTTTTTTTTTACCTTCGCGTAGAAGATAATGTTTTGGTAGCGTTTGTATGCACAGTATGCATGTGATTTAGCACCATTACTGAAGAAGCTATGGATGGACCACTAAGAAATTGTGTGCACGTGGCTATTTCTTAACCCATCGAATAAATGGTTACATTTTGGTTAACATCATTTGGTGGTAAACTAGCATGGGTACATAAAGTCCACTAAATAATGTCGTAATCGTATTATTTCGTAATAGTTATCTATACTACATATTTCCTCTATTTCGTCCCAATATAGAAAACAATTCAATAGCTGCAATCCGTGTCATCAATTATCGCCAACTTTCGTTGCATGTCAAGGGCGTCATCTAGCGGATTGCAAAAGAACGACACAACAGTACTATTGCCAATATGTTCACAGTATATTGACTCAATCTCAAGAAACATGTGGCATCTGGGAAATTGACACTGGGAACATGTGGCATTTGATGAATTAATCATCACAAAACGATCCCCGTGACAATTTACTAAAGATAAATAAGGGTACAATGTAAAAGCTTGGTCCTCTTCTCTAGGTAAACCCAGTTCACAACACGCATATGGCGAAATTCTATCTTCTTAAATCTCTATTGAGTTAAAAGTCTTACAGATACACGCAACAAATCACTTGTGATAAGACTTTTCCAATACATGTATAAAACACTGATAGTGGCAATTTGCATCAACACCTATTGTCTCATATACTAAGAAATCCTAATTATTGCAACAAACACTTTCCTAGATACAATGTTCCTTTTAATTCTCACTCCGAACCAGGCACAAGTCCAAATTTGATTACATACGTCAATGAGAATGCAACCAAAGTGGATATTAAATGCTTCACTTGGAAGTAAAACATAATCTCAGTTATACTTAGCCTCACCAAAACACTTGCAATGTCTTGCTTGGGACGATAATTTTACAAGAAAAACGTGATCCCATTGTAAGCATTTCAGAGTTTTGACTGCCCAATTTTGTTCAATGCTGGTCTCCAGCCCTCAACTACTTTGTACTTTGGTCTCAAAAAATTGACAAGCATATTGGTAATTTTTTGTGGGGCAAAACTTTTTGTCAGTTCGCTGCTGTTTTGTTTTTGAACAATGCCCACACGGCCATGCTTCGTCATTATTAGTTTTTGAAGACGGTAAACCATACTTCTTGGGGGAAAATTGTGTCCCAACCGTCTTTAAAGTGATGCTCTTCCATCAAAGTCGTCACACTGGCGATGTGCCTCATTTAGCACGTGGTCTCAACCAGAAGGTCCTGAAATATTAAACGGATACTGGTCTAAGACGACGTGCATTCTTTCAGTACACGACAAGGGTTGAAAGCAACAGTAGGACTTGCAGTGGATGGATACAAAAGAGAAGCAAAAAAGAACAAAAGCAGAAAAAAACAGCTTTTAATTTGTCAAACTTTAAGTGGAAACGACCATGGTGAAAATCCATATCCAATCACGTACAGTATAGAATAGAGAGCTGAGTTTACATGAGATAGAGCACTTGTTACACAGGTTCTGCAAGCGAAAGTTCAAGTTAGCTTATTCTAACCCACTATTCTACATAGTACTTAAGTTTAAGCACAGATGAAATATACTAGCTATAGAGTAGACAACAAGGTAAAGATTGAGTATAGGAGAAGGTAAAATCTATTCTTCTTAATGTTATACTAACTTTTATACTATCTTTTTAAGTTTCTCTTGTTCTGATAGTCTTTGATAGATAAATATTGGTATGTCTACAACAATATAGAATATATCTTACAAACAGGATCACCAAACACTGGTCACTTTAGATTTAAAAAGGCTCTTTTCAAGCTTCGATTCCGCCATTTTTTCTGTCATGGAAATCGATTTCTTGTACAAGTAGGTTTTTCAACTTTAATTGTCTTTTAAAAATTTAAAGCAACCAGTGCTATCACTTGTACGGCCACAGTGAGTAACAATAAATAAATAAATCTATTTTCTCTCTCTGCCTATATCCCTATATCCTTGTAGGTTGTCCTAATAGCACCGGGTACAGGTGCCAGCCGCTATTACACCACTTTTTAGACCCCGTTCACACGGAGATGCCGTAACCCCATTCGATCCAGATTCCACCGAAGCCGGATTTGAGTGGCCCCATCTGAACGCTCCAAATCGCATTGAGTGCTCAGGCACGGTTTGAAAGGAACGTGTGGCACGGATCAGATGTGAGGAATGCGATTTACCCGAATTGCGGTTACGGCGGTTCAGTGTGAACAGGGCCCAAGGCAGGATTGGGTGTTTGCAGCTAGGTGGTTATATCATCACTGGGGGTATTTGGTTGGTGTAAGACTCCCGTGCATTCTATCTACCTCAATGTGTCTGATCCTGACCCTGGATATGTTTTAAAGATTGCAAGACTTTAAACTCTTACATTCTTCTGTAGAATCGTTCAGAATGACTACCAGTCACCACCTATTTAGTCAACCCACCATCATCGTGACATGCAAACACCCCATACCTGTCCACTAAAACCTTCAGGCGATATTATGTAAGATTTTTGCGCCAAAATTGTAAATGTAAATAAGTGAAATTTTCCCATGTAGATTGTCATTTTCGATAACTTTCAACATGTTTAACAGCGCCGCTATTTCGCTTTTCCGGCGACTCAGCGCGGGAATAAGTTCCACCAGGCCTGCTGGATATTTAGGAGGCTCCTAAAAAGAATGTAAACAAACAGCGGTTTTCGCACTATCTTCGGCATGCAGCTTCTATCACGTTTTTGCGGCGCAACGACGTCGAAATGTCACTATGAACCCAGGTAGGCTTATAGAACAAGAAAATGTGTAAAACAACGATGTTTATAATAGTCAAAATCTTACGTAATATCACTTTAAGACACCCTTCCTTACACACCCTCAGAAGCAAGGCTACTACACCATAGCGGATTTGTGGTAGTTCTCGGTGGGGAGCGGAGTGTTGCGGATCTCCGGGCGGGTCCCGTCGGCGAAGTACTGCATGGTGGCGGTGCGGGGCTCCAGGCAAGTCCCGAAGGCGTTCTTGGCCAGCAGCGTCAGCTTGTACTCCCCTTCCTTCAGGCCCAGGACGTCGGCGGTGTTGGGCTGGAAAGTCATGTGCACGACCTGGGAGGGAGGGAGGTTTCTATCAGTTTTCATTGCCACAAAGTTCATACGATCCTTACTGATTTGGCCGGATTCAGGCGCGGGTCACAAAATTAATAAGGATCGTATGTTTCCGAGTAATGGGTCGTATATGTATTCCGTAAAATGTGTATGAATTCCGTAAAATTTGTATGAATTCCGTGAAATTCGTATGAATTCTTTCGCACCCCTGAAGTTACGAAAAGCTAGAAAGCAACGTTAAGTGGTTTGCGACGTGAAGCATTCCACACGTACTGCAGGAACGGGAAAATTCAGACGGTCTACCAGCGCCCCCTGGCAGTTATCAGCGAGACTTCACCATATAGGAGAAAAAGACTCGGGGTTCAGATGCTCAGACTGCATGCCGAAAAAGGTATAAATCCCATATTTGATAAATGTAATAAATTTGTCGCTTTCCAATGTATTTATCTATTAATCTATCACTGTTTATCTATCTACTTACTATCTATTCATCCATCCATATTCATTCATCTATCCATTTATTTATCAATCTGTCTACTGTACTAAATAAGCAATTAATGTCATATTCTTTACACAATACTATGGGTACTTTGTAGCCCGACTTACCTTCGCATCAGGCTTCTCTCGTGATTTGAAAACTGATCTACGCTAAAGAGAGGAAGTGAAGTAGGCATGCAATTAACAACACCATGCAAAGCCATGCAGAGAAGGTGCCACTTAGCTTGTCGATTAGATAAACACTACGTGTGTACATGCAACTAATTACACAAAGTTACACCAGACTTCTTTGGTTGCTGAAAGATAGTAGAAATTGGCTAGATAGGGTGGATAATTTTCTATAGGAGGTAGCTGGTCACAGTTCACACTGACACTGTACCTGGTACAGACATACAGTTATATTAGAGGTAACACCACTGTCCTTGGTGCTGAATCGACTTTCACACAACAACATGATGGTCCCAAACGCATCCTAACATATCTAAACTCAGTCCCAATGCAGTAAGAGCGTAATGCAGTTCACCATCCAGTCGAAAAAACGGAGATGAAAACCTACCTTGGCCTGGACGCCGGTGGTGATGCGGCGGACCTGCAGTTCGTATTCCTCCGCGCCGGTGGCCTTCCCCCAGACGATGGTGATGGAGTTACGCTCCTTCCCGTTCTTAGAAAACTCG